CCAGTCGGACTTTCCTGTCCTTCGTCTGCACTCTGACAGGGGTGGTGAGTTCTCCTCAGACCTCTTGGCAGCCTTCTGTGCGGAGCACGGCATCCGCCAGACGTTCACGCTTCCGGCCTCTCCGCAGCAGAATGGGGTTGCTGAGCGCCGCATTGGCTTAGTCATGGAGGTCGCTCGTACCTCCATGATCCATGCGGCTGCCCCCCATTTTCTGTGGCCGTTTGCGGTCCGGTACGCCGCGCATCAGCTCAACCTCTGGCCCCGTGTCTCCTTGCCGGAGACCTCGCCCACACTGCTGTGGACGGGGAAGGTTGGCGATGCGTCGCGTTTCTGGGTCTGGGGTGCTCGTGCCTTTGTCCGCGATACCACCGCGGACAAGCTCTCCGCCCGCGCTGTTCCCTGTGTCTTCCTTGGCTTTGTCCCTGACGCGCCTGGTTGGCAGTTTTACCACCCCACCTCGCGCCGTGTCTTCCCCTCTCAGGACGTCACGTTCGACGAGTCGGTTCCCTTTTACCGTCTCTTCCCCTACCGCACTGCCCCTCTCCCCCCCCCACCGCTCTTCCTCACTCCAGGTGCTCCCCAGGTAGACCCCCTCCCCGCTCCCGGTCCTGCTCCTTCAGGTGTGTCTCAGGTAGACCCTCCTCCCTTGACTGAGCCGGTTGAGGTCACTGGTGACTCAGGTCCTGCTGAGGGTGGTCCTGCTCGGGGTGCTGCTGCTGGGGGTGCTGAGCCTGGAGGTGCGGAGCCTTGGGGTGCGGAGCCTGGGGGTGCGGAGACTGGAGGTGCTGAGCCTGGGCGTGAGGAGTCTAGGGGTGCTGAGCCTGGGGGTACTGAGTCTGGGGGTGCTGCACCTGGGGGCGCTGAGGCGTCTGGTGAGCAGTCTTCCTGGAGCGGCCGTCTCCGTAGTCGCTCCGCTGGTGCCTCGTCGCTGCACTCTCGTCGTCGACTCCCTCTCTCCCCACAGCAGCTGCTTGAGTGGTACGTTGACCGTCAGGGTCGCGTTGCTGGAGCTAGGGGCCCTGCTGCGGGAGGCGCTGGAGCTGGTGACTCTGCTATTGGAGTTGTTTCTGCTGGTGGTTCTGGAGCTGCTGAGGCTGCTGGAGCTGGAGGTTCTGGAGCTGCTGGAGGTGCTGGCGCTGGTGACGCTGGAGCTGGAGGTGCTGGCGCTGGTGGCGCTGGAGCTGGAGGTTCTGGAGCTACTGAGGGTGCTGGAGCTGGAGGTTCTGGAGCTGCTGGTGCTGGCACTGGAGGTTCTGGAGCTGCTGCGGGTGCTGGCGCTGAGGGTTCTGAGTCAGCTGTTCCGCGGTCTCCTTGGAGTAGCCGCCTTCGTCCGCGTGTGCCTCTCACCTCACAGCAGCTTCACGACTGGTACGGTCGCCGTCAGGGTCGCGCTTCTGGAGCTCTGGGCTCTGCCGCTGGAGGTACTTCTGCTGACGTCACTGGAGCTGGGAGTGGTGCTGGTCCCGGAGGTGCTCGTACTGGAGGTACTGGAGCTGCTGGGGCTGGAGGTGCTGAGCCTGAGGGTGCTACTGCTGGAGACACTGGGTCTGGGGGTGCTGCTGCTGGAGACACGGAGGCTGGAGACCCTGGGACTGGAGGTGCCGGTTCTGGGGGTGCTGCTGTTGGTGGAGCTGGTCCTGGAGGAGCTGGCGCTGAGGGTTCTGGAGCTGCTGGAGGTGCTGGAGCTGCTGGGGGTACTGGAGCTGCTGGTGCAGGTGTCACTGCACAGCCGCGCCTGTTCTTCGCTCCACTGTCTCCGTCGTCTCAGCCACCGCCTGACTCTGTGCTTCGCCAGGTTCTTAGTCTCCCTTCGTCTACTGGTCTTCCGTTACAGCCTGGCTCACCGCTGCCTGCTCCTTCTCCTTACACTGAGCAGACAGGGGGTCTTACTGAGCGTCGTGAGCCTGCGTCGCGTCCTGTCTCGCCTGTCCGTTCTGGTTGGTCCGGTCGTCGTGTTCCTCGTCCGCGTCAGCCGGACCTCGTAGTCCGTCGTCCTTCCTCTCCTTCGCAGCGTGTTCCTCTGCCGTCTCCTCCTGCGTCTTCTCTGCCTGTCGTTGCGGACCTTGAGTCCGACCGGTTTCGTGCTGAGCACCCTACTGTCACGCGTTTGCTAGCAACTGTTGTCACTGACCCGTCGTTTCAGTCTGCTGCTGCGTCTGCCTTAGTCGCTGAGCTTGTTGACTTTGCTGCTGCCTGTCGTCTAGACTACGCCGCTAGTCTTGTTGCTGAGTCTGAGTCTGTCTGTCCTCCGTCCGTCGGGGGTGAGTGTGCTCTTGGCACGGACGTCCTTGAGGACAGGCAGGAGGACCTTGAGTGTCTTGCAGCCGCTGCGCCTCATCTCGTGTCCATGCTGCTTGCCCCTGAGGGAGACCCGGATGCTCCAGACATCCCGACTTCGCGCTCTTACGCTGAGGCGATAGCGGGTGAGTACTCCTCTCAGTGGCAGACAGCCATGGACGCAGAGATGGCATCCTGGAAGTCCACAGGCACTTACGTCGACGAGGTTCCCCCACCTGGGGCGAACATCGTCAGTGGCATGTGGATTTTCAGGGTGAAGCGGCCGCCGGGTTCTCCGCCTGTCTTCAAGGCGCGTTACGTTGCACGAGGTTTCAGTCAGCGAGAGGGAGTAGACTTTTTCCAGACCTTCTCCCCCACCCCGAAGATGACCACTCTTCGGGTGCTGCTGCACGTTGCCGCTCAGCGTGACTACGAGCTTCACTCTCTTGACTTCAGCACAGCTTTCTTACAGGGCAGCCTGCACGAGGAGATCTGGCTGCGCCGCCTACCTGGCTTCACTGGGTCGTTCCCTCCTGGTACCCAGTGGAGCCTCCGGCGGCCGGTCTACGGTCTCCGCCAGGCGCCACGTGAGTGGCACGACACACTGAGGACGACACTTGCGGCTCTTGGGTTTGCTCCGTCGACTGCTGACCCGTCGCTGTTTCTGCGCACCGACACTTCGCTGCCGCCGTTCTACATCCTCGTATACGTTGACCACTTGGTCTTTGCCACTGCTGACACTGAGGCTCTCGCCCTGGTGAAGTCGGAGCTACAGAAGAGACACACGTGCACAGACCTGGGTGAGCTACGCAGTTACCTTGGCTTGCAGATCACCCGGGACAGAGCACGCCGCACCATCTCACTGACTCTGTCACACATGGTGCAGTAGGTCCTTCAGCGCTTCGGCTTCACCTGGTCCTCGGCACAGGCCACTCCTCTGGCTACAGGTCACTCGCTCTCAGCTCCACCTTCGGACGAGTCCGTAGAGCCGAGTGGTCCTTACCCAGAGCTAGTGGGATGCCTCATGTACCTGATGACATGCACTCGTCCTGACCTTGCGTACCCTCTTGGCCTTCTGGCTCGCTACGTGGCTCCTGGTCGGCACCGAAAGATGCACATGGATGCTGCTAAGAGGGTACTGCGCTACTTGTGCAGTACATCGGGCATGGGGCTCGTGCTTGGAGGACGGGGCGACGTTGTCCTCACTGGGCACTCGGACGCTTCTTGGGTTGACGACCAGGCTACGCAGCGGTCGTCACAGGGTTACACCTTCAGCCTTGGCTCTGGTTCGGTTTCTTGGCGTTCTACACGCTCGTCTTCAGTTCTCAGCTCCAGTTGTGAAGCTGAGATCTACGCCACAGCCATGGCTGCACAGGAGTTACGCTGGCTCACCTACCTGCTGACCGACTTGGGAGAGCGGCCTCGTTCTCCTCCAGTGCTGTACGTCGACAACAAGGCCGCCATTGCCTTGTGTCAGGAGCACAGACTGGAGCACAGAACGAAGCACATCGCTCTGCGTTACTTCCTGGCTCGAGAGTTGCAGCAGCGTGGTCAGCTTCGTCTTGCTTACGTGGCCACTCGGGCCAACACTGCTGATATATTCACCAAGGCGCTTCCGTCTGGTGATCATCAGCGTTTCTGCACTCTGTTAGGCCTTGTGCCCACGTTTCCTCACTTGCTGTAGACTTTGCTTGTACTGTGATCTATATATATACCTGCATGCTTGTTCTGCTAGGTAGAGATCACTGTGCTATTGTTGTTGCATATATACCTCTGCATGTGAACTGGCCTTGTGGCCCTTTGCTTGTGCTCAGTGTGTGTGGTGACGTTGTGATCCACCCTGAGCTTGCTTTGCTTCTCTTGACTGGTCTTGTGACCCCTTGCTCTCCCCCACTGTGCCTATGGGGGTGTGTCAAAGTATATGCATGTTATATAGTGTAGGCTGTAGTGGGGTAGCCAATATGGGGTACAGCCCCTTTTAGGGTTTCATACTTGTACCCAACTCTTTCATAGTTCATTCATTCCTGCTGCTAGATTCTGTCACACAGACCTGCCACCTAGTCTCATTTCACTCATCTCAATTTGAGTTCCCGCCCGTCCCACCCTTGCGCATTATGCATCGATGCTAGTTAGCTTATTTTCATACGGTAGCTTTGTGTACCACTGCAACATATATATACTGTGCCATGTAAATTGATGATGAATATATGACGACTGCATTGCTATGACGACTGCATTGCAAACTCTTTTCAGAGTCTTGTCACAATTTCGCTCATGCTTTTCGCTCGACTGTATTATTTTGCTTCGATAGTGCAATTCTCGCTCGCTCGCTCAATTGCACTCGTAACACAGGGATGGGAAGTGAAGCTGGTACATTTGTATGTATGAACAGTGATACAAATACGAGCTATCAAAGCCTGTATCAAAATTGGTTAGTGCACGACAGGCCCAACCGCAGTTGGCATCCTGCCCGTGCAGCTCTGTATGGAAGCCTCAGTGATCTTCAAGGTAAACTGCATGCATCAGCTCTCAGGGCAGGTGAGACTGTAGTAGTATATGCCATGCCATATGCACAGGCCATCTTCTGCCTTGCATGGCAGCTGTCCCTTACAGGTGGATTCTCAAACCACTGCGTGGCAATGACCGCCCCTTGAGGTTCCATGGGTGAAACTTCAAACAACTGTCTGGCAGTGACTGCCTTTTGAGGTTCCATATGTGACGCCTCAAACCACTGCTTGGCGGTGCAGGGCCAGCTCTTTCATACCTCTCGCCAGCAGGCCCACCACAGCAGCTCTTGGCCTGTGCTGCCGGGTATGATCGAGTACACAAGTGAAGCCCATGTGGTTGGATGCAGTGGCAATAGCAGGACCAGGTGTAGCAGCTGATTTATTGGCAGAAGCAGAGACTGCAGCAGCAGCAGCAGCGGATGGATCAGATTCCCCTGAACAATCTGCAGAAGTGCTGACTTGGCGAGAGTTAATGGCTGTCCACTTGGCAGAGAGGTATGGGTGTCGGCGCCAGGGTGGCACATGCATGCCCTGGGCATGCAGAGACAGCCGCATCGCCTCAGACAAAATCTCCACCAGTCGGTGTAACCGGTCCGGGCAGCCGACGAAAGAAACCGGAGTTAGCTGCAGAATGTAACTGTACTGCGGTGTCGGACGAGCGACTTGAAACTGTGCCCGGAAGTCAAGGTCAACTATGAGCCGCTCAGGTAGACGATGTGGGGAGGATGGATGAAGGATGACGTCACAGTACACGTGAGAGCCTGCCAGCAGAGACGAAAAGAGAGGGTGAGGTAATGTTAGAAGGATGGGAAAAGACCAAAACGGTATGCAAGGAAAGGGTAAGAGGGAAGATGCGGAGTCAAATCCAGAGAAAGGGAAGGGAAAGAAGGAGAATGAAGGGTTCCAGATCAGCGGTGAATGGTGAGAAGACTCGCTAGGAGCGAAGGCACGTGGGATCTGCGCTCACCATCAGGGACGCCGTTGGAGTAGTCCCACTGAGAATAGCACACAGCAGCATCGTATCCCCGACTCCGCAACTGCTGCACCACCGTGTTGCGTACACTGTCGCTGCTTGTGCTGACGTCAGCAGACGGGGTCCTCGTATGCTCCATGGCGGCAGTGACGACATCAAAAACTGTATATTCTTCTGGCGTCTCACAGCAGCTGAGTGGCTGTAAAGAAAGAAAGGAGACAAGAGCGAGGAAAAAAAAAACCAACATATTAGGAAACAGGGTGACGTCCCTCACAATAGGCCGCACTCGCAGGGAACTTGACGGCAACAGCTGATTCCCAAGGGACAACAAGCGTCCCGGACCTCGAACCTACTTTCCAAGGCGCGTCAAACCAGCCAAGCGTACTGACCTCGATCATGGAGGCGAGTCGTTCTATTTCGCTGCACGAGCTGTTATCCGTGCGTTGTTGATTCACATAAAGGCCATGATGATGGTAGCTCGTATGCCGCTGGCAGTCCAGGCCGTCACACCGACTTCCTCCGCAGAATTGACACCGCCACGCGCCAGTGGAAGCGTCGTACACGTGGTTCTCCCGTTTTTCGCTGACGCGTCTCGCCGAGTCAGGCTCAGCACCGTCGTTCTCGCCATATCGGGTTATGGATGGTCGCCGTGAGCCGTCTTGCGCTGCTGCTACTGACGGTTCCGAATTGAATTTCCTGACAGACATTGCTTGAGTAGCCGCGACCTTGTTCTTTCGACAGCCATAACCGTCGCCAGCGTCGGCAACGACGTCGTTGCCTTCCTCGATGAACTCGGAGACCACTTCGTCGAGGCAAAATGAGTCGCATGACGAATCGCTCTGCGAGCTGCGACAGTGTAACAGGAGCGAGAATTGGAATAATGGTGGACATTAGAAAAGGTGCAGTAGGAATAACTGACAGACGGAATTTGGAGGAACGAGTAGCGGCATCGGGAATATGTCAGCAATATTGGGTTCGCCTGTTCGTCTGATAGTACTAACCTGTTGCAGCTGCTGGACGGGATGTTGCTGCTGACGTGGCGTATCAACTGAAGGCCAGCGACACTGTCCCACGTGGAGTTACCCGTGCTGCTGAATCCTGATGCCTCCGTGGTGGGTTCATATACGGCAGTATTCCTGGACTCGACGAAAGCAGCTTCCATCGCTGAAGGCAGAGTCTGGTCGGTCGAATTCTTCACTACTGAGGTGTCGATGATAGTAGTCAAAGGGGGAAGGAACCTATTGGTAAGGGAGACATGTCCGAGGGAAGCTTGGAACTTGGTCTGGCAGAGGGAGGTCGTGGTACCCAAAGATAGAATGTCGATGAGACCAGACATAGTAGCTGAGTGAACCCTGGTCTCGCGTCGCGTGTTTCGTGCTCTGTTTCCAGTAAGAATATGACTACTCGGGTTCTCGAAGTGAAGCGGATGTTGCTGGCTCCGAGCTCTTGCTACGAAATTGCTTGACCACTAGGATGAGAAATCTGGGAGGGAATTCCAGAAATTGTAATCTCGCATACGAAATGTGCCAGCAAATCTGTTGTTATAGCTATGGTTGCACAAGATTGACCGACGAATGCAACTGAGGTGAAGCATCTGCCAGGACGAATATCCTGCATGAAATTGCTCACGGGATGGGGGATGCTGACATTGAAAGGTTCTGATTCAGAAAGGCCAGGACCACACAAGTTGGCTGTCTTCAGTAGGTGATGCGCTGTGTGTGTGTGTGGAGAGGAGGAACTGAGGGAAGAGATTGATTCCCTTCTGTGTTGTGTCAGGCAGATTTCCGACCAGCGGCAAAATCCATGGCTGCCGCTGAGGGGCGCGGCAGAGACCAACCGAAAACGACCTTTCGATTCAAGATTCCACGGACCACCACGCTGAGCAGCGGCGAAGTGCATGCCCGTTGATACCGTACCTGACGGGTCCTCCCTGATTCCGATTGACATGACACGCTGGTGGTGACACGTGTGCTTCGGAGACGGGTGCTTTTCAGCTCTCCATGACGCGGACAGAAAATGTGGATAACGTTGCGTCATCCAATTTCCAGGTCAAGGAGGAATCCTGCCCCGGAATCCAGGCTTCGTTGAGTCCCTTGCTCCGGATTGGATAAAACATGGACTTGATGCGTCCATACCAACCGTACGAGGCACCTCGCCTGTGAACTGGTTGCGAGGATTCCCATTCGCCAGATGCTTGGAAAGCCACGTCGGAAATTGCGGCCAATGCGGTTTGAAATTGAATGCAATGATACTGTTGTCGCGCGGTGCGGACGCGCTCATGGTGTATGCGTAAGTGGCGTGGCGTGAGTTGCGCTGGTTGTTTTTGTTGATGTGCGGTTGGGGAAAGTTGAGTGGGAGGGGGGGAAGGGGGAACGTTCTTGAAGATGCGCCTTGGCATCTTTCCATGCGCGCCAACCAAATTATGGGTCTGCCAATGCGGGTATGCGCACGCGCACCGACATTGGCAGCCTTGATTTCAGCCAATCCAGATCAGCGAGGTGACTGACGAAGCACGGGACTGGAGTTCCCTAGGAGCAGACCAGACCGAAGCGATTGATTCGACGAAGTTCGCCATGCATTTTGGACCCAATGACTGACACTGTTGATTCGACAGTAACACGCCAGCCAAAGCCATGGTGACAGCAGATAACTTTTTCACTAGGCAGACAATCATAGTCTGGGAATGAAACTTGTACCGGTATTGAGGAAACCACGGCTGCACATAACCTGACGGTGTATAACTTATACAAGTCTGTCTTTCATCTAAGAACTGTCTCCTATTCACTTAAGAATTGGAGAAACACGACACAGCCTGGAGACATATTTGGACTTCTCCTGACATAATGCACTCTGAACCATTATAGTAAGTAACTATTGTTACGAATATTAATTGTTGAAACATCACTGTGCACTCCTCACCGCAGCAATCGAAGCACGCACTACTATTGAATGGAGACGAAAGGGCGGAAGTGACACGAAGGGTCGCACAGTTACGAAGGCATCTGGACCGTCGGGCAGACAGCATCAGGCAGCAGCAGTGGCGAGGATTCTGCCCTGACAGTTTCGTAACTGTCTGGAGTCGCACGGTTGGATTTCGCTGTAATAAGGGAATGTACCCCTTAGAGTACATGGCTAGCTAGGTCGATTGGTATTCCCTTGTACTCTTATTTATAGTGCTGTATTTGCATGTTTTATTATCTCAAGCATTTTATATTCACTCTGCTATTGAGGTCAAGGGCCCACCACCACCACTACTCAGTCGTGTGCGAACCTTCCTGAGGTGATCCTAGGCACGATCAACTTGTGATCGCAACATGGTATGAGAGCGACTCAGGAATCCTTCGCACCGCCACCACCGAAATCTTCGGCGAACGGAAAGTGGCGTCCGGCACACGCTCACGCATGAGAATGGCCGGAGGATCTGGTGGTCAGACGAATCTGACGGCTGAAGCGCAGACCAGCCCGGCTGCGACAAGCGAGGAAACGACGACGATTGGAACCGCCGCCCTCGCACAGATGCTTCAGTGACTCACCAGCCTGGAGCAACAACTCCAGACATTGCGGAACGGCGACGCGGGAAGTTCTTCCCAACCCTCTCAACCGGCCTCGAACGGCCACAATACCGCCCCGCATACCTTCTCCCTCGACACTAATGGCTCAACCCCCAAAACTCCCCGTCCCAGCGAAGAGGCAATTCTCTCAGCGCAATCAAGGTTTTTGAGTATATAAAAAATAAAGACAAATGTGTGCTTTGACGGCAGAGACTTCTATACGTGGAGCTTCGAGCTCGACCACATGGCAGCAACAGCACAAAACACAACAGCAGCAGCAGCAGACAACACATCAGATGCAGCACACAGCACATCAGCAGAAGCATACACCACGTCAGCAGAAGCATACACCACGTGCAAAACGCGCAGATCTTCCACTATTTCGACGGGAGCTACTCGGGACCCGCCGAAGACACCGACAACGCCAAGGCAAGATACTACAACGAGTCCCTGATGGCGTACAGAGTTCTTCTGCGAAATATGTCGCCGGCGGAGCAATTGAGCATTCGCTCATACAAGACAACACCTGCTCCAGCCCTCGTCGCTTGGCGCCACCTGAATGGCGTTTACCAACCGAAGGATTTGGTTTCGTCGAGCTGCCTACTCCAGCAGCTACAGGAGACAAGAATGGCACCAGGGGAGAAGGCCAACAGCTACATCAATCGCTGTCGGAGCTTACGCGATCAAATCGCGAAGTTGGGAAGCACGATCTCTGAGGAGATCTTCGTGAACATTGTGCTTCAAGGGCTCGGCCCAGAGTGGCGCTCCTCCGACAGCAGGGGGTCATCTCGGAGGCCGCCCTATGCGCAGCCCTCCTCGTCGAACAACGGGATATGGACCAGCAGCGACCAGCGCCGCGACGAGACAGGGAACGCCTCGCCTTCTATGCCGACAACACGGAGGAGCGACGGCCGCGACGCCTTTACTGCAAGATTTGCAGAAACTTCGGGCACCTAGCAGATCAATGCAAACATCGATCTTGCCCTCGTCAGACCAATCCGAGCAACTGGTCCGGCCGACAAGACGCACGGAATGACACGCGTCCCGCCCAGGGGCATCAACCCCCTCCGCGCAACCTGAATCCAACGATTCAGCATTAGCAGCAGCAGCCACCAACTGCGCCCGTCCGTAACGTCATGGGCAACATGACAATGGCAAGCGGATCCCGTCGTCCCCGTGCGCGCTCACCATCACCTGAGGAAGCACGCCACCCAATCGGAGCGTTCTCGAACAACAATCCGTTCAGCACGCGTCACGATTTCACCAACGACGATGACCAGGACTGGAATCTGCCAGTCCCGCTGCTCGAGAGCCTCCCACACGTACCCGATACAAGGGCGGCACCGATTGATTGGATCGCGCGCGAACAATTTCTAAAAGTTGACACACCACATATCGTTACTCCGCGGCTGGCGCTGCTCGCACGTAACGACAACAGGCGCTACAACACGTGGTACCTGGATAGTTGCTATGGGCAGCACATGGTGGGTTCCGGACGTTACATATCCAACGCCGTTTCCACCCCCGCCGTCACCTACGTCACCGTGGCGAACAACACGCGCCTGCGCGCAAGCGCGCAAGGCATCGTTGTGCTCAAGGCCCGCGGGAGCATGACGCACATCACGCTGAACGACGTGCTGATCGTGCAGAATCTGCGTTTCAACCTCCTCTCGGCGGCGCAGCTCATGGATTGCGGGGTCGACCTTAGCACCGACCCCGAGACACGTGACATCTTGCTTCACTACACGATGCCTCGTACCCCTGCGCTTCGAACACATTCACCGCCGTGACTGGAAGCACCCTGACGGAAGACCGTGGGTGCCTCATCATGCTCACCCGCGCGAAACGGCGTTGCATGACCCCGACCCCGACGGCATCTGCAGAGATTGTCATACGCCCACAGCTTCGACGAGCGCGATCGCCGGCCGTGGCCTTGCCGCCATCGCCATGTCAGAATAGTAGGAAGAACGAGGAGCCATAGCTAGGGTTTAGCTAGCTAGGCAAGAGAAAATAGGCAAAGGAGGAGGTTCACTAGCAAACATTGGGATACATATAGCAAACCCTAACAGAGCTATACTCACTATAGAGTACCCCACTACAGACTAGAGAAACATAACATTCTGACACACCCCCATAGTCAAAGTGGGGTATAATCAGCACAGCAAGCAGTCATAGAGCAGGTTCACAAAGACAAGCAAAGCTAGAGGCATTCACAGAGGGCAAGTGAGGAGGAGGAGGGAATGTGAGAGGAGAGGGGATGGGAGGCGACGACGGATGCTGCAGACACACGGTAGCGGCTGGCTCAGTGGCTACCGAAGCAAAGGCCCGGACTACAGGAGTAACTGGCTCTGCGCCTAACTTTGAGCGGCTGGAGCAACTGACCCACGGGCGACTGGCGACTACCGGAGATTGTAGCCTCCGGACTACTGGCGCTGCTGGCGACACGACGGCTCAACCTTCGCTCAACCTCCCCCAACTGTCCCACCCCCCTTTCACACACCCCTTGCTGCACCCCTAGCTCCACTCCCACGTCACCCCCCTAGCACCACTCCTTCGGCTCCCACACACCCACCCCCCTCAGCGGCAGCTGCAGCAGTGGGAGACTGAGGAGGAGGAGGAGCAGGGGACGGCGCAGACACCCGTCACCCCCATACCCGCCTCCCCCACACTCGCCACCCCCAAACCCTAACACGGGCAGCACGGGGCAGGAGCGCGGGCAGCAGCGCGAGGGACGGCGCGCGGCTCCCCAGGGCGCCGCGACGGGGCAGCGGGGGCCGCGCGCGGC